CCTGGCGTATTCCCCAGAAATCAGATATTCATTTATATTCTAAAAATGGCTGCAACTTAACATGGGATTGGCATGTTTAGTTCTATAAGTAGCCAGAGGTATTAGTTAACAAACAATGTTTAGTGTAAAAGTTGTGTATGAATATAATACACCAATTAAATCAAGTTAAATCGCTGCGACACGGTGACGGAGATAATGAAACACGTCGATACTCAGGTAATGAGCTGTTCTCATGTCAACCTTTATTGTACTTTCAAGAGAGAAAAAATATCACGTTGAGCTTAATCCAGCCACACCAATAATTTTTAAATGGTTAAAAATGCGCAAGGAATGTTTAGTTGAATAAGTCATGTGTAGACCCTGATTGTTTAAAGCAGTTTCGAAGCAAACAATTAAATCCAAATCGAAACTGACAGGTGTGGATATAAGCAATCAAACATAATTTTTCTTAACATCAGTTTTGATAAAAATAAACTATTTGTTTGTTTATAAAATCACTAACCATTAATTTTTCTTACAGTTGATTTATCCTGTAGGAAAAACGCATTCACTATAATGTAAAGTTGTATTTATCTATCTAACAGATGTTTACAAATTTATGGGAGAATAAATGTATATATAGTCAATGATCAATACATACATTTGCATCATGTTATAATGTATATATTATTCCAACGAGCAAAATGCCATTTCCAAAAGAAACCTTCAAAGATGTTTGTATTTAGAGAAGAAGGCGTTATTCTAAATTTCAGCTTGTATTAGTTTCCTTTTAAAAATAATTAAAAATTAGTATAAAAATAGGAGACAATATGGGATTTTAAGTACATGGTTTGCTTGTTTTATAATTCTCATTATTATTGTGTTATGTTTATAACATTTGTTAGTAAACTATTATATAAACAGTAATCGGCACTCATGGATTTTAGATATTGCTTTATAGAAATCGACTATTAAGGGGGTAGTAAATAGCTACGTCCAATCGAATTTCAGGATGGTAATATAAATAGTACCGGTACAAGATTTGAATATAATTTCTATAAAACTAAAACCACCAAACAAAAAAATACCTTCTAGAATCTTTTGAAAGCTCAAATAAAGTAGTTGTCATTTGCAATCACATTTTCTTAACCAATCCCACAATAGATCAGTTTAGATGAAGGTGGGTGGGGGTGGATGAAAACGAGTGACGTATTTATGGACCTTCAGGCTCTCAATCACTTATGCAGTACAGCTAGTGTGTATTATCAAACAAGTATACATGGGCGGAACATTGACATACTATTTAGGACCATCCATTAAGTTCAGAGACAGACAATGAACGACATGGTTTTATTACGGGACTACATACATAAACTACAACACAATAAATTACTTATTTGAGAGAATACTGGTATTTATTACATAATAATGAACGAATTGTTAGAATTCCACTTAGTGGAAATAGAGACAAATGTTAGGATAACAAGTAAGCAATTACGATGTCTGAAAATATAGAAATTAAAAAAAAAACTCACAAATTCAATGTCGACGTACACTATATGTACGTGGTATTCACAGTTTTCTATTGAGAGACAATCCTAATTATTTTCCATTACAGATTGTTTAAGAAAAAAAGTAGTAGGCCTAATGAACCATTTTATTTCGACATCAACATTTAACTTGGAGTTTTCATCGAATGGTTTGATGATATTATTTATGATGGTTATGCAGGCATTGTAGGTTCGCCTAAGGGACCAATCTAAGATTTACGGCTCACAGAAGCCCCTATCATATGTGAAAACTACATCGTTCACTAGATAATAACTCCATTTTGTTTATTATTCATTATAAATTTCCATACACTTATTTGTTTTTGAAACCAATTTATTGGACTGACGATAATCTATATATTTTACAAAGCCTGACTTATTGAACTAGCTTTCATGCTTCTCTCCTCTTTCATTTTCAAGAGACTAATTTTGGGAAAAATGTCTCTGACAATTTTAATCTGTTTTTTTCCTTAAAATATCTTTAGAGAGATTGAGATTGTTTGATTGATTGTAACGAAACATGTCAATATAATTACTGCGAAAACTGGGATGCTAATTTATATAAAGTCCAAAGTAAATACAAAAAAATTTTCAAAATAATAGTTTACAAACTTTTTCTGTTTTTACATATTAAAGTAAATATTTTAAAGAAAATTAATAGCATAGATACTGTCCTCAGGAATAAAAAAGATTTGATGAATATTATGAGTCCATATTCTACGAGTATATAAGGGCATGACAAAAAAAATGACCTAATTTTTATATGAGAAAATAGTTAGTTGATTAAATAGGTTACCTATACCACAGAGAATATGCCATTATCAGGTGGTCTTCTGTCTGTGGTCATATCTAACAACTCACTAACCTCTCTATAGTATTTATTTTGGTATTTAATTTAAGTGTGAAACAGGGTTCAAAAATGTAGAGGACTTGAATATCAATAAATTTTTTTCAATGTTGAATTGAAACTGATAGAACTGGATAAAATAATTTCAAAATTATTCGACAAATCTGAATGTTGGAACTGAAGCACTCGTTTTGCTAATGGATGTAGTTTTGTGTTGCTAAAAGCAGACGAAATTTCGTGTTGTGGATTAGGTTCAGAGGTTTATCAGGTTGGGGCTTACTGTATCATGGAAATAAATATAAAACATTAAAACACTTTATATCGCTAAGTTTAACTATGTGGCAGTTGAGAGTTGAAATGGAAACAGTGCTGACTGTTTTTAATATTTGAATTGTATTTCATTTTGATTTGTTCGGATGTTATGAACGTACGATTTTTGTTCCTTGGTACAGCTATACAACAGGGTGGCGTCAATGATACGCTAAAAATGTTTACTATACGTGTAAAAGTGGGCCAAGATTACTCAATTTGACTATGTGAAGTGTGTGTGTGAAGTGAATGTAATACTAAAAATCCGTAGTATAATACTGCAAAGATATTGTTGTTCGTATAGAACTCTCTTTATTTAACCTTACGTCATTGCTACATATTTCGACACTTTGAATGCCGTTCTTGGTTGGTTAACATTGTAATATGAAATATTAACCGAACAAAACCTTGGTCTGAGATTTAAAAAACCGAAACAAAAATACAAAAAAGCTATTTCTCAGTAAATGAAAAAAATTAATATTGTATAAGATAGCACAAACTACGAATACACCTGATCGAACGTGCAGCAAAATGACTTAAGTTGACGCGTCGAGTACGTTATCCATCACTTACAGACCCTCGGGCCCATCAATTCCGTCAATTTACTTACATCAACCCTTAAACGTGTGTTCCATCCAGTTATCTTCATCACTCACTTTTGGTATATTTAAAAAGCGGGGTAATTATTATTCCACTGAGGATAGGCTATTTACTAACTTAAACCGTTAACCAGTGCATTTGTAATTACTCCTTGATAGATAATGTATATTGAGCTAAGTACCACATAAAAGGTTACAATTAAACATTTGTGATACATTTTAATGTACCAAGTTATTAATTTAGTAACATCTACATACTTATGTATACTTACTGCTAACTCGTATATAGAACAGTACAAATATGATTGTTTATTAGTTAACTCAATAATAATCGACTACTACAAATATTACAAAATTCAGTGACCCTTTATGTAACTCAACATTTTCAATTTGACCCTTTCCCTTACGTCATGTGCTACAAAACTGATTCAACATCAGGGATAACTCGATCATCCCTCGACTGAGATGGGCTCAGAGTTTAAGGCTTTTGATCAAAAATGAAAAATAACTATGTGTACATTCTGCTCAACAATAACAATATATTTTAGACGTGTTTATTGTTTTTATTTTTGGACGTAGTTTTTGTATTGTACAAGCGCAAACTGGCACTCTTTTTTTAAGATTATGTTTGGAAAATATTTTATAGATATTAAGTAAACTTTTCGCGGATTAATTACTAGAGGTTATTCAATATATTTGTAATTAAATAACTTCTTAATCTGCATGGTAAGTGCTGTGCAGTATTGTATTTATGGAATATAAATAAAGTGACACTAAATAACACTAATAACTTTATAATACTTACACTAACACTTGTCACCAAAAAAATATTCATATAAGATGGTAAGTGCTGAACGATTGGACACTTCAATTAATTACTAACCTATACATAATATTTACAACTATATGTTTACCGTGTTTTAGTAAAGAGTATGGGTAAATGTTATTTTTCTGGTTAAAGCATCGATGATTAAAGTGTACCAAAAATGTTATTTGGATCGAACAAAAAAATCTTTTTGGTTTGATCCAAGCTGGCTAAACCACGAAAAAGTTAGTAACCTCTTCTGATTTATTATAGATTTGCGATAGAGTAAAATAAATATCTCTATCCCCTGCATAATGTATTTTTTATTTCATTTAACCCTTTGGAGACTAACTTCTGATTTATCGGAAGTTGATATGTTTAGCTAAAAAAACTAACAATGAAAAAAGTAAAACAGCATGCATGGAATTGAAAGAGGGCTGCTGTTCAAAAGTTATGGATTTTTTCTATTAAATTGCAGAATCTGTTAAAAGTCCCTGGCACCGTGTCATATACTATAGGGTCGGTCTCCAAAGGGTTAATAAATTCGTACAAGAACCCCTGATCTTCCTTATCGATTCAGCCTATTTGTATCTAAAATGCAACTTATCTAATATATTGATATTGATAGAAAAAAAAATAAACCTGCATTCTTGCGAGTTTCCTTTATGCATCAATGTAGCCTGTATTTGAGCAAACAATTGAATTGAATTTATAAAATTCATTTTGTCAATTTTACAATCATTTTACAAAGCAATAGCCCAGTTTTAAAACGATAAAGCCCAAGTTACGAGGACCTGTTTGGGACAAAATTACCCCATAAATCTAAAACAAATCGAGAGGATCTCCAGTTAGACCCTCAACAACATTAACAAACTTATTGACATGAAAATTATCATAATTTCTTTACTCACCAATATTGACGATGCCGTGGTTAGTGACTTCCCAGCAACTCTGTAGCCTCAGGATGCTGAGAGAGGCGCTCTGTTTGGGCGAGAAGAAGCCCAGCGCGGCGTCCGTGACGTGGTAGGCCTGCAGGGAGAACTCGTACAGTGAGGGGAGCAGCTGCGCCACCGCCCCAACCGCCTCATCCGCCACATTGATACAGTCCGACAGAGTCAGGGACACTATCCTGGGAGTGAGACAGGCCCAGAGGCCAGCCTCCGTCAACTCGTTACAACCAGCCAGCTCCAGTTCAAACAGCGACTGCAACAGAAGACAAGCATGATAGAGGTTAGAGTAAGAAGGAGGAATTTGCGAGGTAGGGGGTGGAGGACAGTTTTTTAAGATGTAATTGCTTCAGAAGAATTTATGGAAGAATATAAAGAGGGATGACGAATATGAAGAGGATAGAAAAAGGTAGAATAGGAAGTGATTAGGAAAGAGAAAGAAGCGAAGATACAGGATAAGAAAGAGGAAGATAATGAGAACGAGGAGAAAAAATAAGGGGACGGAAGACGAAATTTAACAGGTAGAGGGAAGAACCCCTCTACCCTCTTTAAGGTTGGTGAAGAAGAACAAGAAGAAAAAGAAAAAGTGATTCAATGTAGCCTATCCTCTACATTACAGTATACAGAAGAAATGTATCGTCTACAAACACATGTTTCCTGTGCTATACCTCTAACCTTCCGGTATTTTTTGTTAAGTATTTAAAATGCTTATCGGGTTCAATTCCACGTTTTTCGCATCCTTAGGCTCAGAGGGCATAAACACTGGGGGTCCTCTCTTGAGTCCCTTGGATATCGGACGGGCCCTGTCAACTCAGTCATCAGAAACATGACACACTTATCGGCTGACAAAAACTCTTGGTCCTGGTGTACTCTTAGGGGGTTTGGGACAGTTAAATATTTATTACAGGATATATGGTAATACACTAAATTCTTCTAGTGGAAATACACCACACTATGAATAATTTCCCTAGCTATGACCAATCTCACAACTGGTAACTAAAACAAGTTAAGTCGATTAATATAGTATAGCTTCAGAATACTTTATCATGTGTAGATGTGATTTGATCTCATAAAAGCAGGATTATAGCAATATTGCGTCAATATGCCGTGGAAGGTAAGTAATTGAATGCAAAGCAAATAAAAGCGTGTATTTCTGTCAATATTTAGTCACGCCATAGAGCTATCGCCTGAATAATGGAACTGATAAAAATCAGTTGAAGGTCATACAAACAGTGTATTACTGCAGTATGGTATAGCATGTTAACGGCGAATGATATTTTTGGTGAATCTATTAAATGTTCCGAAAAAGAATACTGTATCAATTTTTTACTTGTTGCACTTCTTATCTTGGTTATACAGAACAGTTTATATGGATTGTATTAGTGTAAAGTTGTACCATTGATATATGGTGTGTATAAAATTAAAAGTTTATACTTGGTGGATAAGTAGGCCTACGGTATTTGGAGAATTTAAAGAGTAATAGCATTATAAGAAGGGTAATGCTAATAGTAAATAACTAACAGTATTATTCAATGTTTTGGTTTGAATTTAATTTCTCCCTTATCATGATATATTTTATTAGGTCACACATCAATCTTGGGATGAATTTAGCAGGGGTTTCAATATGATTTTTACCAGTTTCTGAGGTAAATTAACCAAATTTGCCATACAGAGGTATGTAAAGTAGAGAGTAATTTATTTTTGAAATGGATTGTTTTTTCCTTTTAGATGGATCATATTTTCCTTTTATTAGTATTATTATTACATCTAAATATTTCTCACGAAATAAGTTTAGAAAACACGCAAATCTTAAAAATAGCTAAAAAAACACAATGACAAATGCAAAATGCTTGTAGACTTGAAATGATTTTATTATTAAGATGATTAAAATATGTGTAATACCCCTGTACAGTAGGATTCTTTTAGGACACAATTTTCGAATAATATTTTTTAAATAAAATTATGCAAATAAAAAAAACCAAAACATTATATTCATTAAATTGAAATACATTACATATAAATAGATTCCTAAATTTTTGTGTTTGTGGGATTTTTGATTTTTTTTTGGATTCAAACATAAAATAAAATGAACAATTCGAATACGAGCTGGAATTTAAATCAATTCATTTTAGTATTTCCGATAACAATGAAGTAATAATAGGAAATACGGATTCAACAGGAGGAAATGCTTTGTTAGGGAATCCTTTATGAAACTCAAATCCAATATCACAGACATGAATGTTATAAACTCGTTTTATTTCGATTGTATTATTGCCAAATGGTATTATTTCCAAAAAATATAAATAGTACTTGCTTAAGACAGCTCAACTCTGTTTGTTCTACATCATTTATAAAAATGGGTTTAAAGAAGTTTGATTTACAATATGCATTAAGATAACTAACATTGATATCCAAACTCTTCTAAGACTTTAAAATGTACAACAAAAACATACATTTTACAAAATGTTCCTCACCGCTGAGAAATACTTCGAACCAACAAATATTAACACTATTATTGAGCAGCAGGTTTATTGTGTAGAGTGTAAAGAAGTATGGAACCGAAAAGAATCATTACTTAAGTGCTTTATTACTTAAGTGCTTTTATACTTGAGTGCTTTACTCAGTGCTTTATATTACAAGAGTTATCATAAGTGCAGTTTTTTTTTTTTATAAGACAGTTTTTAATGTAAAATGTTTTAACGTTTGACCAATGTAAACCTCTATGTATGTTATGAAATTCTCCACATATTACTGGTAACAAAAATTAATACTCAAGATTACAATAATTTGTTATAGTATTTAATTGACAAAACTTACTAATATATTTGGGTTGTTATTGTAGTTAAATTATATTTCGAGTAAATAACCTGTGCAAACTTTTCAAGACATTTTAGTCCAATTTTTTTTTGTTGTTTATCGTATTTAATGCATTGTTATCATTTGCATTATATGTTCTACAATATAATGCAGTATCCTTAAACTCACATAACTGTGTGTAGTTTCCAGTAAACATGTTTAGATATAAGTAGATATCATATAATCACACACAGTAGTGACTGAAAGATAAGGCTAAAACCATTATTTTGTAAAGGGAAAGAACTTTCTAATAAAATCTCCGCATTCATCTCTATTCCTTATTTAGTATATTAGGAATATCGATAATATACCTTACGTCAAAAAACAATGACGCTTTTGTCTATATGACTTAATGTGAATTTCACAATTTAAAATCCCATTTTTATCCATATGCATAGGCCTACACATTGCATCAATGCATCATTGCCAATTCGGTGTACAAAATTAATAGCTCGCCAAACCCTCAGAAGTTGCACAAATTATAGCTTATAAAGATATTTAAAAAGCCAGTACTCGACCACTTCCATCAGAATTAAAAACTATTTACATTGCTGTGAAAGATGTGTATTTATTAGTTTTAAAAGTCTTTTATATTTCATTTGGACAAAAGTATAGTGAAATGACTTACTATAATTACTTGAGTTGTGATATTTAATAAAAGCCTCTATTTCTTTTATCCAAATAGCGTTTCTTTCGCTAAAACGTGTAAAACATTATCCTCTAATTTTACTTGCCTTAAAGTGAATAAAATATTATACGTAACACAAAAGATTGTATAGACAAACTATATTGAATCAATAGTTTCATAAGTAGACACCTTTTTTGGTGTCTACTGGATTACAAAGACAAATATTTAAAATAAACAGGGAAACACGTTTCTATTGTTTGTTAAATTATTTCCCTGTAAAATATATACTATTTTTAGTATATATTTTACAGGAAAATAATTTAACAAAGAATAGAAACGTGTTTCCTGTTTATTTTAAATATTTGTCTTTGTAATCCATTGACCTATTCTAGCTTTTCACGGATATTATTAAATAGATAAATTAGTGATTAAAACAAATGCATAATGAATATCCAATAAGCTGATTGTGGTTAGAGCAGATTAACACATATTTCAGTGCAGTAAATTTATTATTGTATAGCCTTTTGGTTAGGTGGAATCGAGTTTTTGACGACATGGGTTACTCATTTACTTAGTTAACTTTTAATTAAATACATATTTTTATTTTTTATTCTTGAGTTATTTTGGGGTGTAATTTACGCAATTGAAATTTTTGACGGTTTTGTTGCCCAACCCCTGAAATAACATAGACATTTAACCCAACGTAGATTCATAACCCAATAATAAAAAACTTCTGGCTCCTCTACTAATTCTGATCTAGTTCTGATCCGTTGTTCTGATCTCGCTTGGAATCGAATCAGCGGAATTTAGGTTTGAAGGGGAGCACAACAGCAACATAACTCATAATTGCCTTATTCAATAATAAATTTGTTGCTTGTTGTTGTTTTCCACTTGTTATTAATATGCATGCTTACGTTTGCCAATCTTCTTGGTTATCGAATGATAACTGTATTCAAATGTAAAATGGCACCTTGCAGTGAATAAAAAATACCCACCCGGTTACCAAGACAGTTAACACGGTCAAAACACAACCGATCATTCAGATTTAAATAAACGTTGTTTCAATCTTAGTTTATTATGCTACTGCCATGTTTGGTTCGATTATGAGTATTTATTTTACCATCGCGAAGAATGTAATCGGGGCTTCCTTTCTATCGGATTCAAAACAAATTAAAAATGATAATTTATATCCAATCAACATTGAAATCTTCAATTTAGTTCAACGCCCAGAATCCTCTGATATTTGCTTACAGAAATCTCTAAATTAACCCAGGAAAATCCCGCTTTCAGATTAATAAAATGTAAGAACATATACAATTGACTTAAATCAATGATAAAACCCTAGATGTCTTGTGGAATTCTTTATCTTTGTGGATTGAAAATCTACAAGTGAACCGTGAATTAGTGAACTACACTACGAATTTCATAATTTTCATACACAGTAACTTAAAACTATTTTCATGTATGCTTGAGATAAAATCCATAATACAATTGACAAACTTTAGAAAGTAAGTCACAACATAATTGATATACGGGTAATACAAAGGTCGTGTTATTTCTGTTCTCATTAAACTTATTGCATGACGTATGGTTAACTGTAGAAAGTATAATTTTGCTAAATAAAGTGTTTCTTATTTAACAAGAAAAGAAAGTTGCAGGTTAAGTCTTCAAGAGTTACAAGTTTGAGAGATAATTTATCTAGATAGCTGTCGAGGGACCAATAGCAGACCTGCGTTTAAAAATGCATCACAGAAGGGATGCTGCCGCACAGA